TCGATTAGACGACAGATACATAAATTCAAGTAAGGTACAATATAATCATATTTATGCATGACTGAACTTTTTTAATGATGTTAAGCTAAATTTAGACAGGTTTGATCAATGAGTAAAACGGAATGAGTATATATTCAATCGAATTTACCATGCAAATACGGTGTGATTATTATCATAAAAATTGAGTCATTTATTGTTGTTTTGACGAAAACATCAATATTGTATTATATTATAATATATGTGCATAAAAGTAGATATTTACCACATAAATACTTTAGAGTATACTAGAGAATTGAATAGTAGTTAGTTGTTATGACTCATAAATGAATTCTGATTGGTTGAAAAAATTTATTAACAGTGCACAAACGATTTGTTTATGTATGCATTGAAGAAAAAAAAAACTGATGCCGTCTTCAATGGCATCCTATTACGAGTAAGCTTACTACTATATTTCTATATACATCAAATAATGATTCATCGATATTACTATTTTTTTTTCTGTGTTTCTATAAATGAATTGGATGTGATAGATTTGTGTTACATAAATATCTTGATTACTTTCTAATATAAATTATATCACCTGTTTAATTTTTTTTTATCTCTAGATTTATACAAATGTCTTATTGATTGGATTATTAATATTTCTATTCAATGACTAAAGATCGATTGCCCGCGTTGCGGGCTGTAAGTTTTAAATCGAAAAAAAAAAGAAATAAATAATAATTTGTTTTGTTTTTTTTTTAGGCCCAAAATGCTGAAGATAGCGATCCAGATGCAGCATACACTGCTATTAATATGGAAGATAATAGTCGATTTATGTCCGACTTTTTTGCTCATGTGGATTCATTACGTACAAATATTGATAAAATAAGTGAACTTGTTGATGAAGTTAAACGACTTCATTCAACAATATTAGCTGCACCACAAGCTGATGATCGAACGAAAGAAGAACTCGAAGAAAAAATGGCTGACATTAAAAAATTAGCTAATGGTGTTCGACAAAAATTAAAAGGTAAGTTAAGAAAAAGCAAATCTAGAAAAACAAATATTTTAATTAAAATAAAATAATAAAAATTTAGCAATGGAAACTGAATTAGAACAGGAAGGAAATGATAATGCATGGCGTACAGCTGATATACGCATACGAAAAACTCAGGTGTTGTCTCTTTCTATAGTCTATTTCCATGTTGTCTAATCGTTTTTTTAAATGTTGTCTTGTTTTGTAATCCTTTATATGTTTTTTTCCCATCTTATTACAGAAACGGAACAAGAACAAGAACAGTCTCAAGCAACATCAAGTAAAACTCAAGCACAATTACGAATTGAAAAATCACAGGTAGTACATTAATAATAAACATGCGACACGACACGACACAATACAATACTCCTCATTCCTTGTCTTATGTATAAATGTTAAAATTATTTTTTTTTCGTTTAAAAAAAAAACAAACAATTGAGAAAATTTGTTTTATTTTCCTTATTTAGCATGCAACATTATCACGTAAATTTATTGACGTAATGAATTCATATCGAAATGCTGAAATTGAATATCGAGAACGATGTAAAGCTCGTATTCAACGACAACTTGAAATCAGTGAGAAATCATATCTATTGTGTCGTGTCAAATATCTATATGTGCTTTCTATGTATTTGTTATGTCTGTTTGTTGTTTTGTTAGTTACATAATCTTTTAAAACGATTCAATCAAATTATGATTGATTATCATCTAGCAAAAAGATATTATTTAGAAGAAAGTAAAAAAAAATTAAAAAAACAAATCGAAATGAGTGAGTTTTGAGAAAGTAAATGCTGAATTCTTCTTTTTTTTTTCTTGTTTTGCATATATTTTAATGTTGTTTTGCATTTATGTTGTAGTTATTTGTGTTAACACAAAAATTTCGTGATGTAATGAACGATTATAATCAAGTTCAGTTGGGTTATCGACAAAAATGCAAAGAGAGAATACAGCGGCAGCTTGAGATCAGTGAGCTTGTTTTGCTATTATTATCGTCATGAGAAACGAAAATTAAAAGATTTATTTAAAAAAATGAAATATTATTTTATTTAGCCGGACGATCTGTAACTGAAGGAGAAGTTGAAGAAATGCTTGAATCTGGCAATCCAGCCGTATTTACACAAGGCGTAAGTTTTGCGAAAGAAATTTAATTTATATATGGTAAATTTTTTTGTTTTATAGATTATGGTTGAAACAGCACAAGCGAAACAGTCACTTGCTGATATTGAAGCGCGACATGGTGATATTATGAAATTAGAAAAAAGCATCAAAGAATTACATGATATGTTTATTGATATGGCTGCACTTGTTCAAACACAAGTAAATTTTATCATTTGTTTTGATTATAGACAAGAATACTTTTCTTTTTTTTATATTATTAAAGGGTGAAATGATTGATCGAATTGAATATAATGTTGTGCAATCAGAAAATTTCGTCAAAGCTGCTAGTACAGACACGAAAAAAGCTGTTAAATTTCAAAGTGCAGCGCGGCGGGTGAGTTTTAATATTCATAGTGTTGGCTAACTGTTGTAACAATGCATGTTTGTTGTGATCTAACATGATTAATTCTAACACTTGTATGCGTTTGCTTGCTTCTAACTAACTGCTTCTCGAACGCTTTTTCTTCTCTCATCGGGATATAAAATCTAGTGATCTATTATTTATGCCTCTACTGATCAACTCGGATCGACGCTCATTTTTCATCAATGAACTAAACAATTAATCTTATTTAGAAAAAAATTCTACTTATTCTGTGTTTGGTTATAACAGTGGTTATTATTATACTCGTTCTTGTCATTTATTTTGTGATTAAAAGTAAAAGTTCTAATAACAATTCTCAATCATCAGGAACAACAGTAACAACAGTAACAACAGTAAAACCAGTAACTTCTGGAACAGGCTAGATAGATTATGTATATAGCAATATGCAAACGCGCTAAATACTAACGGCATGGCTAATATATCTATATATATCTACATGTACATAAATATATAAATAAACAC